TTCCATAAGGGGAATTTAGACATTTGTAGAGTCAATTTTGGCATTATACTCTAGTGCCCAAAAATAAATATGCTAAACAGATCCAAAAAGTTAGATCAATCTGTTTATTAAATGTTACCTTTATTTTTTCACCAAAGCCCCGATGAAAAGATTAAATGTGGTGCTTGATGGGGTGCAGTGAGTGGCTAATTTTTGGCTCGAAGGTTCCTAAGAGCAGCACTCGATGTACCAGTCCTATACTGGAACTGTCCAATTGAGGAAAGGAATCATATGCTCAGACGTACTTCCTTCGTAAAGAAATATAAGAATGTTTGAATCACTAAAGTGGTGATCTAAACGCTCTTATATTTCTTTAGTGATCTAAACGCTTTTATATTTTCTTACAGAGGAAGTAATAAATAAGGAAATAATGGACAGTAGTACTAGATCAAAGAAAGATGGATCTAAAATATAAAATATTGCTGCAGTGCCTGGAAAACATGAGGTAGTTTGGGCTTGCACTTGGAGAAAGTGGAATTTTCTTGTAGTCCTATCATCGGCCGACTTGTTCACATTACTAGCAATGTAGAAAAGTGGTGATAAAAAGATATTTCGAGTGGAAATTTTGAGGAATTACTTACAGATTTTGACAAGTGTTCATACCTAGTTTTGTTGTTTGCACCCTTGATAGTATGGTTGCCCTTAGACTCAATGTGTATTGTTTTAATACACTAAATTCCTAGAAAATTACTAACTATTTCGCCTTTGGCTAACTGCTTCTCTAGGATCACCATCTTTGTTTCCAACTAGATAATACACTAAATCTGAAATAAATTCAATATTTTTTAGATAACAAAATATTTCATTTATTGTGGATGTGCAATACATCTTGTTAGGATTAACACACACATCAGACATAATCTTGAACTACCAAGATTGAAACCATGGTAATGTGTGCACATGAGTACACGACTATAGTAAGAAAATAAGCCCTCACTGTTCTACAAACCTCCAGCTTGGGCATGCATATAGATACTGCAATCTTTTGACAACTTAATCATATTATTTTTAGTGTTCCCCAATTTTGGTTCGTGGGAGCACAAGCTCCCACATGAACAATTACTTAAAATAGTAATTATTTCAAAAAATTCTGAATTTTTGGATGTCTGTGTTAGTGTCACAAGCATGCTTATTTTCAAGCAAAACAGAGGAGTCTTGTTTCGTTGGCGAAAAAATAAATTTGGGGTGACATTTGGGGGTAACATTTGGTGTTCAAAATTTGTTTTGCACAAGTAAAAATGCTTAACCTTTTTACCTCTAAATTTGCCGGTAGCATTTGGATGTGACTGAGAACACATAAAACAATTATTGATTTTTTGACATTTTAAAAATTATTTTTGGGGCCGGGAGGACGTGCTCCCGGGAGCCGAATTGAATTTCGGTTGCAGTTTACGCAAACTAATCATCGTCGTGGCAGAAATGTAGGGATCGCCAAGACGCAAATTTTCCAACGGTTTTTGTTATTACCCTTGCCAAGCTTCATCATAGCCACAAGATATTTCCCTGTCCACTTCTGAAAGGATGAAAGATGATGTAGAATGCATTGCAGGGAAAATAAGCCATGGCGGGCTCAAAGGCGGTGCACATGCGCGCAGTGGACGCGTCGGGTCGGTCCATGGTAGGCTTGGGCGCGTGTGTCGTGACCTAGGGTGTGTGCGTGTGTGTCCACGCATACAAGCGCGTGGGTCGTAGTCTGTTGGCGAGATAAGTGGAGGAGTGACCGCGTCGGGGCGCTGGACTCGGGCCGTGGCGACTGCGTGCGTGCGCGTCGGGTACGCGAGCCTGGGAGCGTGGGACTTGGGATGCGTGGGAGTGCGGCGCGACGTGTCTGTGCATGCCCGTATAAAGCCTGCTCCCTCCTCCGTGTTGTAGTCCGCCGGATCGAGTTCGTGCTCGAGGAAGAAAAGGCAGTCTGTGCGGCGGGCATTCATGCGCCGGGACATCCTCCCGTGTGCACTGTCTTCTTCTTCCTCCTCCTTCTTCTTCTCGGTTGTGGCAGACAGAGGGAGGGAGCTGCAGAGAGAGAGGCAGGCCACGGCAACAACAATTGGTATCAGAGCTTGGTGAAGGAGCTCGTCGGCGGCAATGGCGATTGTGCCACACGGCAGAGGCGCGGGCGGATCGGTGTCGATGGCAATGTTGTTGCTCACGCCAGACAACTACACGGTGTGGGCGATCAAGGCGCAAGCGGTCCTCGACGCCCACACTCTGTGGGAGGCGGTGGCGCCGGGCGACGCGGCGGTGAACGCCAAGAAGTGCAAGAAGGCACGCACGATGATCCTCGCAGGGCTGCTGGAGGACGTGCTGCTGCAGGTGGCGAAGAAACTCACCGCAAGGGAGGCATGGGACTCCCTAAAGTGAGGTTCGTCGGCGCCGATCGGGTGCGCGCGGCGAGGTTGTTGACGCTGTGTGGGAAGTTTGATCGCCTGAAGATGGCGGACGGCGAGGCGCTAGATGCGTACGCCGGGAGGCTGGCGGGGATGACGACGCGGTATGCGAACCTCGGTAAGACGCTAGGCTACGCGGTGCTCGTGAAGAAGCTCCTGGACACCGTCCCCGATCAGTTGTTCCCCGTCGTCGCCAGCATCGAGCAGGTTTGCAACCTCAACGAGATGGCGTTCGACGAGGTGCTCGGGCTGCGCGCGCTCGACGAGCGGTTTCGGCGTCGTTGACAAGACGGCGGCGAGCGTAGGGGCGATCAGCTGCTCCTGACCATGGTGCAGTGGCGGGCGCGGGAGGAGCTCACGACGACGACGACGACGACGAGGACGACGGGCGGAGCGTGGTGTCGGGCAACGGCGGCAACCCACGCGGGCGCTGCTACAAGTACGGCGAGCGCGGCCACTTCAAGAGGGGCTGCCCTCGGCTGCGGTGGTAGCCGGTGGCGGAGCACGCGCTGCTGGCGGATGTCGGCGTGGAGGACGCCAAGACTCCTCTGAGTCGTGGCTTAGGGGGTGAAATGTAGGGCAAATAAGCCATGGCGGGCTCAAACGCGGTGCGCATGCGCGCGGTGGACACGTCGGGTTAGGTCCATGGCAGGCTTGGGCGCGTGCACGCGTGACCAAGGGTGTGTGCGTGTGTGTCCACGCGTACAAGCGCGTGGGCCGTAGTCAGTTGGCGAGATGCGTGGAGGAGTGACCGTGTCGGGGCGCTGGACTCGGGCTGTGGCGACTTCGTGCGTACGAGTCGGGTACGCGAGCCTGGGAGCGCGCGACGTGGGGGATGCGTGAGTGGGGTGCGTGGGAGCGTGGCACAGCGTGTCTGTGCACGCCCGTATAAATCCTGCTCCCTCCTCCGTGTTGTAGTTTGCCGGATCGAGTTCGTGCTCGAGGAAGAAAAGGCCGTCTGTGCGGCGGGTGTTCGTGCGCCGGAAAATCCTTCCGTGTCCACTGTCTTCTTCTTCCTCCTCCTTCTTCTTCTCGGTTGTCACAGAGTGAGAGGGAGGGAGGTGCAGAGAGAGAGAGAGGGGCAGGCCACGACAACAACATGCATAACTAAACATTTGGGTCCTTAGTCCGGCATATATTTTTAACCAAAATGGCGATCTTTCTAGCTCATCTTAAGATTATCTAAAATAGATCTCCAAAAAGTCTAGTAAGCTGGTCAACATATATAGATTCAACACCTTATTGTAGGTGGTATACTACTCCAAAACGTACATTCTAACAAACTAACCCTTGGTTTGCCTTGTGCCACTTATGAAATTATTGAAACACTCATCATCACAGTTATCCCAACCCACTGACATATGATTATTATAATATTTTATATGTAGTTTGGCCAGTTGTCTCAAATTATAACCTCAAGCGTTTGGTGTAATAGAAATGAACCACGTAGAGGCAAGATATGTATCTCTCTCGTGGGTAACTACCTTGTAGCGTCTCCCACGCCAATGCGCATGGAAGCTATCTTCTTCTAGATCATTACACCCCCACCCCCACCCCACGCCGACGGTGCCATTGTCTCTGATCCAGCAGCCAGATTGACCACATCCCGCCATGTCGCATGCAACAAGTTGGGACTTGCCTGAATCGACTAACTAATGTGATGAGGCAAAAGGTTGTATTGGCAGAACACGCTCATTGTTGGAGGAAGAGACTCGGGCCTCCACCATATCTGCTGATATATAGTTCTGTGTGCACGCAGCAAGCATTTCTGCAGGAAATTGAACTCCGAGACCAGGGAGATGCACCTCATCTGTACTAGAATCAAATAAACAATACACTAAATTTCATGAATCACTCAATCAAGATTTTTGTGACTCACACTCGCATGTTCGTTTTTTTTCGAAAAAGGAGGATGCCACCCGGCCTCTGCATCTGGGAGATGCATACGACCATTTTATTGATTATTCTCGAGGACCTTACAAAGTATAACAACAATATGTCTGAATCCGCCATCTTGACAGCATCTGCCGCTACTTCTATCAGAATAATGAAGGGTGCAAGCTGGGCCACATGCCCATACCTCTCACCTAAACCTAACATCTAAAACCGAAGGCCATGACCAAGCCATCTGCCGGGTCCGGGCTCAAACCGGTCTGAAGCACTCGCATGTTCGTTGGAGTAATGAATTGCCAAAACTGAATGCAAATAGGCATCGATCAGTCGTGTAGTGCCGCACAGGGTTGTGAGCTACGAAGCCACAACCATGGCTGGAGCTGATCTGATCATCTTCTCGAGTGAGACCATCGATCTGCAAATAGGACCAGTTAGCAGACATCCAGTCTAGCCAGCTAGCAACACAGTATGAGACAAACAAAACCAATTCATTTCAGAGTACATAAGCTGCCATGAATGGATTCAGCTCCAACCAACAATTCTTCTTAGTGCAAAGATAAGTTTTAACACCCCGCCTCCCGGTCAGAGGAAGGAGAGGACTACAAGCTCAACCTACGATCTACCCCCCGAGAAATCACATGAATTACAAGAAGGTGCCTCTCCTTACTAATCTCTCCTCGTCTACTCCCTTTTCTTGTTTTGTTTGCTACCGGTGCGCTCGCCAATTGGCTCCGTTGCGGCGTAGATCTCGCTGATCAGGCGGTAGCGCTTCACCCTCCGCTGCCTCCCGGCCACCTCATGCTCCTCATCTTCCTCCCAGTCCTCGGAACCACCAAGAATTATGGCGCCCGAAGCCGGCGGCGCTGGTGGGGCCTTCGTGGAGCGCGGAGGGGAGGAGGACTGACCCGAGAGCGCCACGCAGGGGGCGACGGGGAGGACGCGCAGGGTGCCCAAGGACACGCTGCTCTCGCTAAGGCGGACGAGTTGCTCAGCCGCTTCCAGCTCAAGCGCCGTGAATTCCTCCACCTCTGCTGGCGCCGCCGCCCTGGTCTTCTTCCTCTTGGGCTTCGGCTCCATCTTCCCCTTCACTGGTTGTACCTTGCGCTGTAGGTTTTTCATGGAAGATTAGTGTGGGTGGGTTGCCATGGACACGCGGGTTGGATAATTTCGCCTCCACTCTCTCTTCTAGTCTTTTCTTTGGTTGTTCCCCTTCTCCTTTTCCTCTTGTTTCCCGATAGAGAGGGGCTTGGCTTTTATTTCTTTATTTTCCCCTTGGATTTTTGGAAATGTTTGAATTATTTCCCTAGGTGGCATCCCATAAATGACATAGCCTGGAATAGATTTGGCATGGCATGAAACACGTTTCACGCGTAATTACAATTATCCTGTATTACAATGCGAATACGCGTCACTGTGTAGACGCGTGTCACATTCTGAGCTGTCTGTTTTTTTTTTTTTTGCAGGGGAGCTGTCTTGTTAATCAAGCATGCAGCACGTCTAATCGGCTTTGTCCAACGAATTGTTGGGTCAGGCACCCATCGACTTGTCACGCTTGAGGTTCTCACACATTGTATGTACATGCTATAGATTTCCCTACCATAGTTGTTTCCTATCATGATTTATGGTATGTAAGTTATTTGATGCCTGGTTTCACACTCGTTGTTACCGTTGCGCATTCACATGGCTAGGTATACACATAGTTTAAATTACATTATATAGACAGTCCTTGTTACCGTTGCATATTCATACTATAGAACTTGTTGTCACAATTGCATATTTCTCTATTTCCCCTTGCTCTTTTGGACACATCAATATGGCCCGGAATAGATTTGGCCTGACCAAGGTTTTACACTGTTAATTATCATTGAGCCTTAATCCAACACGAACGCGTTGCCATGCAGGTCCGTGGCACATCATGTTCGTCTGTCAATCTTGGGCAAATTGCATCTTGTCGGCTATGTCCAGTTCACCAATGGATTGCCATTGGCATGTTGCATCGGAGATTCTCATGTGTTGTACGTATACGCTACATATTTCCATATTATCATTATTGGTCACGATTGTGGTGTGTAACTTGTTCTTGGTAATATTTCCTTTAATCAACACCTTCTTACGAGAGGAGTTGGGCTCGAAAGAAGTCCATTCTCTTCTTGACAACTACAAGAATATCATAAAGGGATTTCTACTTTCATTCTCCTCACTGCTTAGTTCTGCTCAATTTTGCCCCACCCAACTAATATTCCTCACTTTTCCCCTCCTCTACTCAGGCCACACTCATAAATTCCCAAAACAGAGCCTTGTCATTGGGTCAAAGTAGTTGACCATTACCTAGCTCACTAGTGGGACACCCCGGGGCCCACCTGTCAGTGTCTGGTTTATTGGCAAAAAATGGTGGAATATAATGCCGTCCGAGGGGGGTCGAACTCGAGAGCCATCCTTGAATATGCATTGTATGATCCATTTGAGTTGTGTGCATGTGTGTGCCGAGGGGCAGAGAAATAACCTTTTGACCTGACATTGCCTACTTTAAAAGACGGGTTCATGATTTAGTGACACAAGAAAGATAGATCGCGGCGGTGTCAAACAAAGCAGATTTAGAGATAGCACATTCAGATAAACCTAATAAGCACATTCATAGATGTGCTCAAGCCTAACAGAGCGAATTGACATTACCGTAATATGAAATTAAGAGAGTGATAGCATGGGCGACATAAGATTGCTAGAGCCGACAGAGACAATAGATGGACGCCTACTTGTCTTCATCGTCCGAAAGGACGATGGCGCCATCATCGTTGTGGTCTTCGTCCTCGGAGGACGATAGGATGACGAAGTTCGGTCCCTCGCCTTCCGCCTTGAGAGCGGTCGCTGCACACAGAGTGTTCACCCTCCTCTTCTCTCTAGCTGCAGACTCTTCTTTAGTCGCCCAATGTCTGACATGGACAGAGACGCAACGAGCACTGCCTGGTCGAGCGGCTGATGCGCCGCACGCAGGGCCTCCTCCGCCTAGGCAGTAAACCCGACAACATTTTATGCCGGATCCGGCATCTCTTCCCTGGCCTTCTCTTCCCTGGTGTTGATGATGATGAGTGATATTTCGATGTATACTATGCAACTTTACTTCTTGTAGACTCTGTTGGGCCTCCAAGCGTAGAGTTTTATAGTACAGTAGCAATTTTCCCTCAAGTGGATGACCTAAGGTTAATCAATCCGTGGGAGGCATAGAATGAAGATGGTCTCTCTCAAACAACCCTGCAATCAAATACAAGAAATCTCTTGTGTCCCCAACACACCAAATACAATGGTAAATTGTATATGTGGACTAGTACGATGAGGAGATGGTGATATAAGTGTAGTATGGATAGTAGATATAGGTTTCGTAATCTGAAAATATAAAAACAGCAAGGTAGCAAGTGACAAATGGAGCACAAATGGTATTGAAATGCTTGAAAACAAGGCTTAGGGTTCACTAGTGCAACATCTTAACAATGCTCACATAATTGAATCATATAACAATCCCTCAACACGTGACAAAGAATCACTCCAAAGTTCTTATCTAGAAGAGAACATAAGATGAAATTGTTGTAGGTGTCGGTGTCAAAACCGGCAGATCTTGGGTGGGGGTCCCGAACGGTGCGTCCAAGGATCGATGGTAACAGGAGGCAGGGAACACGATGTTTACCCAGGTTCGGGCCCTCTTAATGGAGGTAATACCCTACTTCCTGCTTGATTGACTTTGATGAGTATAGGGGTTACAAGAGTTGATCTATCTCGAGATCGTAATGGCTAAACCCTGGATGTCTAGCATGTATGATTGTGATTGTCCCTACGGTCTATGCCCTCCGGTTTATATTGGCACCGGAGGGGATTAGGGTTGTACAAAGTCGGTTTACAGAGGAAGGAAACTATACATCTTGACGCCAAGCTTGCCATCCACGCAAAGGAGAGTCCCATCCGGACACGGAAGAAGGCCTTCCATCTCGTATCTTCATGGCCCATCAGTCCGGCCCATGTCACATAGGCCGGCTCCCCGAGGACCCACAGTCCAGGGCTCCCTCAGTAGCCCCTGAACCGGACTTCAATGACGATGTATCCGGCGCGCAGATTGTCTTCGGCATTGCAAGGTAGGTTCCTTCTCGGAATACTCTAATGCAGTCCTCCGCACAATATAGTTGTATCCGGCTCTGTTTAATAACTACAACCTTAAGTTGTAAGGGCAAAAATACTCAAAACAAAGTAAGTCACGTCCATAGGCGATTTTTCCGGTGAGGCGTTATGTCCTGGCCTTGTTAGTATTCTGAACCATTTTATAGTCCCCGCTTCGTGTTTCGAGGCACGGTCATAGGCACATCTTGTCAAAAAAGGGATCGTGTCCCCTTATCATGGGATTCTCATCAATAGGGGTTTGGGTAATCCAACCGTGCCATTCACACGTCCCCTTGGGAATAGGCGAAATTTAAGGCTTATGAAGGGACGCTTGATATCCACTGCCTTTATAAGAAGATATGGATTCATATTTTTACCCCACGCCTTCTTCCTCCTCAGCGCATCTGCCATTCGAGCTCCAGCGCCCAAGTTCCAATCTTTTCCATCACCACCAAACACTTTTAGCCACATCCGGATCTAGAGCGCAGGGCAAGTGGATGGCTTCCTCTATTACAGAGAGAACATCAAGGAGCTCTGGGAAGCTGTGTACTTGGCCGCGGACATAGTTCACCGGCTCCCTGCCAAGAAGCAGATCATTCCCACCCTGGAGCCTAATGATAGGGTAGTATTCATTCCCCATTTCCTTTGTGGACTAGGGTTTCCCCTCCATCCTTTCGCATGTGGTCTCATGTTTTACTATGGGCTAGATTTCCATGATCTAGCCCCAAATTCCTTCCTCATCATTTCGGCGTTTATCGTCGTGTGCGAGGCATTCCTCCGCATCCCTCCCCACTTCGTCCTATGGCTCAAGGTCTTCAATGTGAAGCCGAAGGTGGTTGAAGGTCAACACACGGAGTGCGGCGGCGCCATGTTGAGCAAACTTCCCAACGTCACCTAGCCAAAGGGGGTCTTTGTGGAGACTATCAAGGGATGGCAGCAGGGGTGGTTCTATATCACGGAACCCCGTGACACCACATGGGTCACCGCTCCCGAGTTCAAATTTGGGCCTCCAATGTGGCTTACCTCATGCATCAACAAGGGCCTGGATTGAGCGCCGCCTGACAAGGTGACGACACTGCAGAGTCGCATCAAGGGTATGATAAATAAGAACACTAGTCTTGCCAGCATGATCCAGGTGATGCTCTTTCACCGGATTCTCCCCTGCCAGCACCGGACTCGGTACATGTGGGAATTCGACCCGGCCAGTCCTCGAACCCTGCAGCGGTTCTTCGGCACAACGCACGAAGACATATGGAAGTTGTTTTTCAAGGCTCAGAAGTTGTGGCTGAAAACGACCGAAGACCGCGGCTTCGAGTGCACTCATCTTGCCACTCCCGTAAGTTTTATGATAACTTCAGTTTGTAAATCCAAGGAGTATATTTAGCTTTACATTACTCCCATAGGGCTGGACAAAGAAGGCGGAGCGGATCCAATGTCCGGCTCCGCTACCCAAAGACCCAACCATCCCTCTGTTGACGAAGATGCTGGTTCCGGTGCCGTATCAGGCGCTGGAGAAGAAGGCCAAGAAGAAGGGCAAGGAGGCCAGAGGTGACCTCCGCCATAAAGGCGCTTCGGATGTTGCGTCAAGACATCGATACTCTCTCCTCTCATGAAGAAGATGAGGAGGAGGAAGAGAGCAATACTCCCCTTAAGGGGGAAAGAAGAACAGGGTGGCTTCCACGGACCTGGAGGCTGCTACCTCTTGAGCATGCATTGGTTTTCCCTTGAAGAGGAAAGGGTGATGCAGCAAAGTAGCGTAAGTATTTCCCTTGGTTTTGAGAACCAAGGTATCAATCCAGTACGAGACGACACACAAGTCACCTAGTACCTACACAAACAATCAAGAACCTTGCAACCAACGCGATAAAGGGGTTGTCAATCCCTTCACGGCCAATCACAAAAGTGAGATCTGATGGAGATAGTAAAGTAAATATTTTTGGTATTTTCATTGTATAAATTGGAAAGTAAAGATTGCA